CCTAACACAAGAGCTGGCACTCAGCAGCTCTTTCCAATATTTTGAATGACTATGACTTTATTGAATGGCATTGATGGTTTCGAAGGAATTTGCTGCTATACGCTACTGTGCTTTTGATGTCAGAGACATTGCAACGCTTGTTGTGTTTTTAATGGCACTGCGGTTACTGGGAGCTGCTTTGAGCTCGACGTCTGCTGTCGGAAAAGGGGAATACAAATAGTGAATCGAGCAAGTGAATAATCTTGCTTTGGGCACCAAAGGCCCAAATTCTTCTGAGGAAGGTAAAACGACTCCCCACACCAAAGATGTTCGCATTTGGTTACAGGGTGGCATTTTAAAAAAAAACATTCAAAACTAGACTCTGTGAGCTGCAGTAGGTGCTTCCAGGTAGGCCCTAAACTGTGCAGTCAGCCATCTTGTTCATTCAGGAAGGTTTTCCCCCCATGAGTGATTTTTGTCCTGCATTGCACTTATCTTGGCCTGCTTTATTCCCCACCACAGGATATCCAAATAGGGAGCAAAAGGGCCCTTCCATGCTCTGTGGATGGAGATATGGGAAGATATAAAGCCATAAGAATAGCCAACTGGATCAGGCCAAAGGCCCTTCTAGTCCAGCATTCTGTACTCACAGCGGCCAACCAGATCCCCGTGGTGGAAAATGACAAGGGGGTGCCTCAGGGTTCTGTCCTGGGCCCGTTGTTGTTCAACATCTTTATAGATAACTTGAATGGAGGTACTGAGGGTTTGCTCATCAAAACTGCAGATGACACCAAACTGGGAGGGGTAGCTAATGCCACAGAAGACGTGAAAAAAGTACCGTATTTTTTGCTCTATAAGACTCACTTTTTCCCTCCTAAAAAGTAAGGGGAAATGTGTGTGCGACTTATGGAGCAAATGCAGGCTGCGCAGCTATCCCAGAAGCCAGCACAGCAAGAGGGATTGCTGCTTTCACTGCGCAGCGATCCCTCTTGCTGTTCTGGCTTCTGGGATTCAGAATTTTTTCTCTCTTGTTTTGCTCCTCCAAAAACGAGGTGCGTCTTGTGGTCTGGTGCGTCTCATAGAGTGAAAAATATGGTACTTTCTTTTATCTGTCCTGAATCTCCCAGCCATAAAAACAACCGAAAAGGATGGAGATGCTTTCAACAGCCTGAATAATCCTTTGCCACCCCAATTTCTTGAACTTCTGTCAAACCCCCGACTAATACCCTCCCCCCCCATGGTTCCCATCTGGAAGTGCTGGGGTCTTTTTTGACAGCCAGAGCCAAATCCTGAGAGTGGCCCCCACAAATTGCACACACATGTGCAGTCAGAGCAGAAGTGAAACTGAGCCCCTAGAGATACACCCAAATATAGGACTTCCTTGCCTATGTGAAGCCGTAAGACAGACAGAAAAAAACCCCCACATTAAACCCCACTAAAATAAAAAAAGGAAAAGAACAAAGAGGGGGAAATCCTTGCAGGTTACTGGTAGGAGTCAATACTGTCTAAGTTAAACACTACTAGTGTTATGTGAGATCTCAGAATGGGCCCTGGACAGAAATGGGCTTGATTAAAATTTTAGCTCAGCCCCAAACACCTGAGGCAACCGTCCTTTCTCCCAGCTTTCTCTGTCAGCTTGAAACAAGAGAACACTGTAATAATGGCCAACTTTGCCGGGTTGTAGTGAGAATTGTTGGGATAGCGTGCATAAATCTCTTAAAGCACAAATGAAAGGTCAACTAACTAAATAATATGGATTAAAATAGCCTGCTCCCAGATGAGCCTATTTGGCCCTTGAGACTGACATTGCAGGCCTGGGTCTCTGCACCCTCATTGCATGAGATCAGGCCAATGGGGACTAGAGGCGGGGCCTTTTCTGTGGTGGCACCAAGAGAGTAGAATATCTTCCTGATGTTTAGTCAGAATCTGATTTCTTTTAGCTTGAAGCCATTTGTTTGAGTCCTGCCCTCTGGAGCAGGAAAAAACAAGCTTGTTCCCTCTTCCATGCAACAGCCCTTGAGATATTTGAAGATGGCTATTGTAACTCCTCTCAGTCTCCTCTTTTCCAGGTTAAACATGCCCAGCTCCTTCAACTGTTCTGCATAAAGGCTTGGCTTCCAGACCCTTGATCATCTTGGTTGCCCTCATCTACACACATTCTAGCTGGTCAACATCCTTCTTAAATTGTGGTGCCCAGAACTGAACACAGGACTCCAGGTGTGCTCTGACCAGTACAAAGAGGTTCCTACAGACACATCTTCTATCCAGGCAACCAAGAGAGATTATTACAGTGCAAGGACACCCTGCAGTAAGGCCAAAGCATGTAAGGAGGGGGCGGGGCCAGAGCAGTGAGGGGCGGGGTCTGGAAGAGGAGGCATGGCCTTGGAGAGGCATGACCTGAGGAGACAGCTGAGGACTAGGAACAGGTGCACCAAGCCCTGAGGTCCCCTACTCCTGGTCCAGAGAAATCATTGTCCTGCTTCATGGTAAGGCTGAAGAAGAAAACAGTTGTGTCCAGCATAATAATAATAATAAGAATAATAATTTTATTATTTATACCCCACTCATCTGGCTGGGTTTCCCCAGCCACTCTGGGTGGCTCCCAACAGAATATTAAAAGCACGATATGCAGTGGTACCTCTAGTTATGAACTTAATTCATTCCGGAGGTCCGTTCTTAACCTGAAACTGTTCTTAACTAGAGGCCTGCTTTTGCTAATGGGGCCTCTTGCTACTGCTGCACCACCGTCACACGATTTCCATTCTCATCCTGGGGCAAAGTTCTCAATGTAACTCTTCCAGGTTAGCGGAGTTTGTAACCTGAAGCTTTTGTAACCTGGGGCATTTGTGACTCAAGGTACCACTGTGTTTTGATATAACTAGAATCCTCTTAAACCTTTAATACTGAAGGTGAAGAAGATGATGTAAACAATCTCTGTACTTCACTCAGTCACAGCCATGGTTTTTTTGTTTGCCTTTGATTGGTTTGTACATCCCATTGAGTTTCTGAAGTTGCATTTTCAAAAAGATAGGAGCAAAGAACAAATGGACCCCCAACAAGAAAAGTTGCAACCTGCAAAAGCTTTGCAGCATGAAAAGGGCGTGTGGATGCATGCAGAGGAAGTGGTGGTGGCACAATGATGACGAGAGGAGGCTTTTGACAGTCAACAACAGTCGTTGCACAGAGGAAGCCGCGGAAGAAACCCCTGCACTTGTTACAACATTTTACCTTAAGAAACAGAAGGGTGTTGGAAGAAGAGCATCTGCTGCATCATAAGAACGTAAGATGAGCTATCTGGATCAGGCCAAAGGGGGGCCCACCTAGTCCAGCATCCTGTTCTCGCTGTGGCCAACCAGATGCCCCAATAGGAAACACACAGGCAGGATTTGAACACAAGAGCCCACTCCCCTCCTGTGGTTTCCCGGAGCTGGAATTCAGAAGCATCACTGCCTCTGACCTTAGAGGCAGAACACACTCATCCTGGCTAGTAGCCATCAATACCCTTCTCCTCCATGAATTTCTCTAATCCTCTTTTAAAGCTATCTAGGTTGGGGGCATCACTGCCTCTGGAGGCAGCAAGTTCCACCATTTAACTATACACTGTGTGAAGAAGGACTTTCTTCTATCTGTCCCGAATCTTCCAGCATTCGGCTTCTTTGGAAGCCCATGACTTCTTGTGTTATGAGAGAGGGAGAAAAGCTTTTCTCTGTCCACATTCAGCACGCCATGCATAATTTTACAGACCTTTATCATGTCTCCTCTTATTCACTTTTTCTCTAAACTAAAAAACAAAGCAAAACCCATATGCTGCAACTTTTCATCAAAGGGAAGTCACTCCATGCCCTTGATCCTTTTGGTCATCCTTTTCTGAACCTATTCCAAGTCCACAGTCTCCTTTTTGAGGTGAGGCAGCCAGAACTGTACACAGGATCAGGCAGGCCCTAGTTCCACCTAGTCCAGCTGAGATGGCCAAAGCAGGGCACTCTGAAGATTTGGTGGACTCAAGCTGCCATAGCTAGGGATGATGGGAGTTGTAGTCAACAACAGCACAGGGCGAGGGGAGCTGCACAGCGCATTGGCTGTTCCTGACTTGCCAGCAGCCTGCTTCCCTAGTTAATTGTCCTCAGCATCAGGACCATTTAGGAACCAGATTTACACTGAGCTAGACCATTGGTCCATTCTAGCTCAATACTCTTGACACTGACAGGCAGCAGCTGTCCGGGGTTTTAGGCAGGGGACATTCCCAGCCCTACCGGAAGATGCTGGGGCTTGAACCTGAGGCCTTCTACATGCAAAGCAGGTGTTCTGAGCTAATTCCCTTCCCTGATGCAACAGCCCTCAGGAGAACGTGGAGTTTCCTTCTGCCTCACCATCACAAGCAGGAGCCATCGCTAGGCTCGACCCCTGTAAAATCAACCCCACATATGCCGGCAGCCATGATTATTCTTAGCATCATATATTTATGTATCTACTTGACCACATTGGTGAACCTCGAATGGTTACATTTGCCACATAACACCTGAAAGAATTCATTAGTGGCACAACTTGCACCTTGGAACTCCCTGCCTCTTGAAACCAGGCAGGAACCTTTGCTGTACCCTTTTCGGCACCTGCTGAAAAACACACTCTTGTTTCGTCAAGCCTGTCCAGGTGCTTAGAAAGTTGGGGGGGGTGGCGGGTTTCATCTGGTTCAATCTATTAACTTTCTGCTATTCTTTCCCTGCTGATTATTTTACTGTTTCACTTTTTTTTGTAAACCTTTCTTTTTTAAAAACAAACAAACAAACAAACAAGCAATGTGTCAATTTCACAAAAAGAATAAATGAATGTTCCCATTTTGCAGACAGCTAGGGTAGATAACTGAGGCTGAATGAGAGAGACCACGTGACGGCATTAAGAACCGAAGCTGGGCTTCCAGAATCAACATTCCCTCTAGAATGTGTGACATGATGGCAGGGGGAAAAAAGATTCTGAGGTGGGGAAATAGGAAAATGCCTTTCCAGAACCAAGAGGAGACCTACCTGTGCTGTGATATTCAAGCCCCGTGGGCACTTCCTGGATGGCAGCTTCATCCCAGAGTGGGTAGAATGCCCTCTGCTGGTAGCAGGTGGACTGGAACCCACAGGTCGCCCACGGGTCTTCGTAAGGGTTGACATCCCCCTGCCTCTGTGGGAAAGAGAAGCACACCTGGCTGAGCAAAGGTTTCCAGAGGAATGATGCCGAAGGCAGTCACCACAAAGTGTGCAAGCTGGGAAGCGTGCAGAGGACCATGATGATCAAGGGTCCAAGCTTTGTGAGGACCAGTTGAGGGAGTTAGGGATGCTTAGCCCAGAAAAGTGGAGTCCAAGAGGAGATACAAGAGCCATCTTTTCAAATATCTGAAGGGCCCCCAAATGGAGCAAGCTTGTTTTCTCCTGCTCCAGAAGGTAGGATCTGAACCAAGGGACTCAAATTACAAGAAAGGAGACCCTGACTAAACATTAGGAAGAACTTTCTGGCAGTCAGGGTTGTTTTACAGTGGAATGGACTCCCTCAAAAGGTGGTGGACTCTGATTCATTGGAGGATTTGAAGTAGAGGTTAGATAACCACTTGTCAGGGATGCTTTGGTTGTGATTTCTACATTGCAAGGGATTGGATGAGAAGAACATTGGGGTCCCTTCCAACTCTACCATTCTATGGTTCTTTGAGTCTGGATACAGTGGTACCTCGGGTTACAGACACTTCAGGTTACAGACGCTTCAGGTTACAGACTCCGCTAACCCAGAAATAGTACTTCTGGTTAAGAACTTTGCTTCAGGATAAGAACAGAAATTGTGCTCCGGTAGCGCAGTGGCAGCAGGAGGAGGCCCCATTAGCTAAAGTGGTGCTTCAGGTTAAGAACAGTTTCAGGTTAAGAACGGACCTCCAGAACAAATTAAGTTCTTAACCCGAGATACCACTGTAGCTTTGTTTGTTAGAGCATGCTGCTGATAACACCAAGGTTGCAGGTTCGATCCTTGTATGGGACAGCTGCCTATTTCTGCATTGCAGAAACTGTCCCATTCTACAGTTTTGTGATTCTTTGAAAGTGACTGGAGCCTTGGTAAATGCTTCTACAAAGTGCACCCTGGTCCACAGGTACATTTGATGGGTGTTTGGTGCACTCAGTGCATCCAACTGCAGAGCAGGGATAGGGAACCCCTAGGGCTGATTAGGGCACATGTGGTTCTCCAGCTTTTTCTGTGCAGCATTTGGGATTCTCCCTTAGCTATCCCTTTCCCAGGTCAATCCAGGTCCTCCTTGACTGCTCTTATCCAGCTGGACTGGGCCCCTGAACTGGAAAGATGCTCCATCTGGAGATGGGGAGAAGCGGGGGTGCATAAACCTCCTATCTGGACTGTACAATGGGAAAACCCACTACTGAATGTGGCTCCCAGGAGGTTCCACACCAAGAAAGGATAGCACACACACACACCAGCTCTTTGCAGTGTTTGTGTGATTCTCCCTCTCTTTCCCACACAAGTCAAGAGAGACAGAAAGGGCTGAACATGCTGCAAATCATTAGATTCTGAAAAGAAAAGTTTCAACATAAATGTTGGCAATGCTGCCACAGGGCCTTTTCAGTGGTGGCTCCCTGATTGCGGAATCACCTCCCCAGTGAGGTGCGCCTTTCTCCTTCCTTCCTTATTAACTTTCAGGATGAATTTGAAAACATCCCTGTTTACATTTGGTGGCTGAGGAAAGACCATTCCCGGCAACCTTGAGATCACTGGACAGAAGAATATTTTTAATTGGAATTGCCTTTAGAATGTTTTTCAATTGAAACTGTGCAAAGTGGAACTTTAGATGTTTTTAACTAAAATTGTTTTTAGAATGCTTTGCCGTGCTTTTGTTTTGAAGTTGGGCGTGCGTTTGCTGTCCGGGGCTCCTTTGGGAGGAAGGGAGGAATATAAATTCAATGAATAAAAACAGTCAAACATTATTCTATGAGCAGATAAAAACATATACTCAGTAATAACAAGGTCAAGTCTCATGGGTCAGAGAACGCCTGGGCAAAAAGAGATGTCTTTAGAAGACATTAGAAACATGCCCTGACTCCGGTGGTGCGATCGGGGCAGGACTTTAGGGCAGGTGTCCAGGGGCCACTCCACTCAGCAGAATGAGCTGGAGGAGCCCCCAAAGAACAGTGGGGAGGGGTCCGGCTTTCTACAGGTTGAAGAAAGGAAAGTGATGCGGTTTTACACTGAGATCCAGCGCTGAGGGCCTTCTGGCGGTTCCCTCATTGCGAGAAGTAAGGTTACAGGGAACCAGACAGAGGGCCTTCTCGGTAGTGGCACCCACCCTGTGGAACGCCCTCCCATCAGATGTGAAGGAAATAAGTAGCTATCCTATCTTTAAAAGTCATCTGAAGGCAGCCCTGTTCAGGGAAGTTTTTAATATTTAACGCTGTATTATTTTTAATACTTTATTGGGAGCCGCCCAGAGTGGCTGGGGAAACTCAGCCAGATGGGCGGGGTATAAATAAATTGTTGTTGTTGTTGTTATTATTATTCAATGTTAGTCCTACTCAGAATAAACCCTGCGAAATCAATGGACACAACTCCATTGTCACCATTGTCCTTCCTTGGAGGTTTTTAAGCAGAGGTTGGATGGCCGTTTGTCAGGGATGCTTTAGCTGAGATTCCTGCATTGCAGAGGGATTCGACTAGCTGTCGCTTGGGGGTCCCTTGCAATGCTATGATTCTATAAAGCAGGGATTTTTTGCAGGGTGTCTGCAGATGTCCAGATGTTGCAGGACTCCCAGTATAACCAATGGGTGGTGCAGTCCAACAACATCTGGAGTGCCACAGATTCCGCATCCCTGACTTGAAAAGATGGGGCCATGTAAGAACTATTATAGCCTTATCAAACTATTGGCCCATCTAGCTCAGTACTGTCTACACTGACTGGCAGCATCTCTCCTGGATTTTCAGTAAGGGAGACATTACCAGGGACCAAACCTGCACTCTTCTGCATGCAAAGCTATGGCATTTCCCCTAAATCCAGCATCTGAAACTGCCCCATCTCTGTTTGGGCATCTCTGCCTTCCAATACTCTGGAAGCAACCCAACGTTAACGCTCTGGCCCGACTCTTGCAGCCTGTTTCAAAACGGAGGGCGGCTTTCTGCAGCCCTTGCTGCCCCACCCATATCCTTCCACCAGCACAGCGGCGGCACTGTCACACGTCCCTGTCCCCAAGGGAGCTGGGGGAGGCTCAGCAATAGGAAGCAACAGGAAGGCAGGAATAATTTTAGACAAACAACGCCAGGAACTCTGTTTCTTTTTTAAAGTAAAAGAAAATGGACAAGAAAACTCCCTGGAAGTTGCTGCCACACGAGACTGCCCTTTGGAACAGATCTTAGGTCACAAAGAAAAGCTGGGGGGGGGCTTAACTGGTGAAGGAGCAACCTTTGAGCCCAGGCTTGGAATTGGCCATTTGCTGCATCTACCTTGAGTAGGACCGTAGCTCAGTGATGGAGAACTTGCCTTGCATACAGAAGGTTCCAGGTTCAATCCCTGGTGTCTCCAGGTAGGGCAGGCAGAGAAATTTGCTTGAAACCCTGGAGAACCACTGGCTTCCACAGTGAGGACACTGGTTTCCGTGTGGGAGTTGATCACAGTGTGGATTTGCCAAGCGTGCCTTCCTCTTAGCACGTTTCTCCCTTGTGTCCTGAGTTCAAGTGTCTTCAAAGCCCATGACACCTTTGGTAAAGGCTGTTCTCCAACTGGAGCGCTCGCAGGCCAGTGTTTCCCAGTTGTCAGTGTTTATCCCTGACCACTGGTCCTGTTAGCTAGGGATGATGGGAATTGTAGTCCCAAACATCTGGAGGGCTGGAGTTTGCCTATGCCTGGGGTAGATCTCAGGTCAAGTGCGGGGAGGCAGCCAGGGCTGTGACAGAGACGCCTGGGTGCAATCACACTCCCTCACTGCCATGCATTGATTTCCCACATTTGCACTGCTCCAAAATCTTCTGATATTTCTTTGGCTCCATATGTATATTCACGGCTATACGTTTCAGGAAAGAGTACATGTGAGCCATGTCTCTGAGCGCTTTATGGGCCCAGAATGCCAAGCAGGATTAATCCAGAAACTGACTAATGCTTCTGGAGAGGATTCCCACGCAGGCTCAGCTTCCACCGATATCAGAAGTTATTAGGATCAAGCCCTGCAAGGGCGACATGCGAAATTCTGACTCCGTCAGAGCAACCACAACATTCCCCGGGCTCGGAAATAACACTGACTGTCTACAGCTCACCACAGAGTCAGAATCCTCAAGCAACAAAACTGCCCAAGCTGGCCTTGGAAGAATTCCACCGTGGAGCATGGCTACCAGTAACTGGATGCCATCACAAATGTCAAGATGATCCAGGAGGGTCAAGGCAAGCAAACCGGGGAGATTTACGGACATGTGCATTGTTGGGAACCCTTCGGCCAAGTTGCCCTTAGTAGCCCCAAGTGCACGAGAGGCAACTTTGAGGCACTCAGGGGAGGGAGATGGGCACTGCAGGGTTGCCTCCAGCACTCGCCCTACTCAGAGTAGAATCATAGAACTGTAGGGCTGGAAGGGACCCTGAGGATCAACTACTAGTTCAACCCCCTGCAATGCAGGAACGTGCAGCTGCCCCATATGGGAATCGAACCCGCAACCTTGGCGTTATCAGCCCTAACCAACTGAGCTATATGGTGCTGTATGAGCTCCAATGCTTCCCCTCCCCTAGAAAAACAGGTACCAGTACTCACCATGAAGTTGTTGCACTACCCTTGAGCACCCCCTTAAAAAGAGCATTGGCTATATGAGTTATATGAGGCATCATTTAGCCCTCATAATGCAGGTATCACTGCTTAAGAATCCCTGACAGACAACTCCCTGGGGTGGGGGGTGATTATTGTTTTGTATGTTACTACGCTACGTGTTTTTGTATTTTTATATTGTAAACTGACCTGTGATCCTCGGTTGAAGGGCAGTATATAGGTTCATTTATTTCAATGGGTCTACTCTAAGTAGAACTTAATTGGATGGGTCTACTCCCATGTTAGGGACGCGGGTGGCACTGTGGGTTAAACCACAGAGCCTAGGGCTTGACGATCAGAAGGTCAGCAGTTCGAATCCCTGTGACGGGGTGAGCTCCCGTTGCTCGGTGTCTGCTCCGGCCAACCTAGCAGTTCGAAAGCACATCAAAGTGCAAGTAGATAAGTAGGTACCGCTCTGGCGGGAAGGTAAACGGTGTTTCCGTGCGCTGCTCTGGTTCGCCAGAAGTGGCTTAGTCGTGCTGGCCACATGACCTGGAAGCTGTACGCTGGCTCCCTCAGCCAATAAAGCGAGATGAGCGCCGCAACCCCAGAGTCGGCCACGACTGGACCTAATGGTCAGGGGTCCCTTTACCTTTACCTTTACTCCCATGTTGCAGAAGGTTTGTGGGGTTGTTTTTTTGCACCCGTTGCCTGGCTACAGAAATTCAGAGAAGTGCAAATCTCAAAGGAGGACTGGGTTTCGACGCACGGATTGTGTCAGAAAACGACAATGAGGCAACCCTATGGTGTGTGTGCAAAAACCATCAACCACAGCCCTTAAAAAACACCACAATGTATTTCCCCCACCCCACTGCTAACCCCAAAAGCAAGCAGGACAATGTCACCACTGGCTTAAACAAGCAGGTCTTTCAGAAATAATATGACACACATGGGCGTAGCTGGGGGGAGGGCAGCTGCCCCCCAGATCAATAAAATTAAATAAAGATACATAGCAAACTGAGGTTATGCCCCCTCTAACAAAAGGCCTATCCTGTCCCGTCCCCCGCAACAAAAATCCTGGCTACAACTCCTGTTTGCCATCTATGGAAAGAAAAGGTGTAACAAGGAAACAGCTTGTGGGGGGTGATAATGGGGGAGGCCAGTTGCCTAGATGGGGCCAGACCTTGGGACAGATGAGTTCAGGGGAAGGAAACTCTTTTTCCTGTTATCCCAAAATAATAGCAGGCTCAGCAGACCTTCTGCCAATGACGTGTTCTGCATTCTCTCCTGGCTTCTGAGGCTCTTCTGCCTCACACGAGAAACACCTCAATACAAACAGGACCATCTCACAGTGAGACCGCAGCTCTAGGCTCTGCAAAGTCCCCCGGGGCATTCAGGAATCTACCAGGTTCCAACTAGTTTCCCAGGACCCTTCTTTTGTATTTAGACTCAGGGCTGTATCTAGTGTTCTCCATCCACTAGCTCAGGGGCTGTTGAGCCGGCAGACAAGGGGGTTTTTAATACGTTCTGCAGCGTAGAAATCTGGTGTGACCATTGTGCTAGCGTGAAATTGTGCTACAAATTGTGCAATCTATCGTGCGGCGAGGTTACCAGCAAACTGCTCGTCCATCCTCTTGCACAACTGGCGCAAAACATTTCACTGGCGGAAAGAGGATCCCACTAAGGACCTTTAACAGGCATAGGCAAACTTGGCCCTCCAGATGTTTTGGGACTACAATTCCCATCACCCCCGACCACTGGTCCTGCTAGCTAGGGATCATGGGAGTTGTAGGCCAAAAACATCTGGAGAGCCAAGTTTGCCTATGCCTGGCCTTTAACCTTGGGTGCAACCCCATGTAAATTGGCAGAGGCAACATTTGTACAAATTTGTCTCCTCTCCTGCACTCTTTGTTTCATGACCCATTTCCTCTTCCTTGGCAATGGCCACTTGATTGCTAACTCTTGAACTGCAAACGGTGGTGTTTGTGGAAAAAGCCAATGCCAGGTCTGGGGGCACATCGATGGGTAAATGACAGAGCCTGGAGGTGATGCCCAGTGGCTGGGGACAGATTGGGAGTGAAGCCCAATGTTTTTGCACATGTCTGGGGACAGACCCCAGCACAAAAGCACTCTGTGCATTGAAGACACCCTTTTCTGAGAGGAGGCAGAAAGGCTTTCCTTTTATTGGCAGCTGGCCCCAAAGGAAAGGAATCAGAAAACCATCCCCTCGCCCTGGTTGACTGGCAGCTCCCAGTGTAAGGGTCACACCCTGCAGAGATCTCATGTTCCTCAGAATTGCTCCTTGACGGAGGCTGCTCACATCTTCAGATGTGAGTCACCGGTCTGAGCAGGCTGTGCTCACAACGGAAGGCAGCAGGGAATGTGAAACTCACAGCATCCCTTGCCTTTCACATGAATCAAGACCGACACCCCAAGATCCTTCCTGCCTGAGCACCAATAAAAAGGGGGAGGTTACCCTGAATGCCTATAACCACACCAAGTCATGTGTGAAGTGGACTATCAGGTGCTGAGATATCAAGGGGTGAAATGCGCGCATGAACCAAGCCCAACCTCCAAGTCCATTTCTTTAAGTTCACTTAGAAAACCAGGAAGTTTGACTTATCGAAGGATGCTTTGTGTTCCACCTTGCATCTTGTTTCATAGAATTGCGGGGTTGAAAGGGTCATCCAGCCCAACCCCGTGCAATGCAGATTTGGAAAGTACAGATTATGTAGGTTTGCCTTCAAATACACACTGAATCAAATTTCTCTCCCATCTCCAGCCTGTAAAGAAGTCTGCTTAGTCCAAAGTCTGAGTGAGCTCAGTGGAACTTCTTCATAGAATCACAGAACTGTAGAGTTGGAAGGGACCCTGAGGAGGATCATCTAGTCAGACCCCCCGCAATGCAGGAATATGCAGCTGTCCCATGCAGGGATTGAACCTGCAACCTTGGCGTTATCAGAGCCACGCTCTAACCACCCAAGCAAGCGCTCACAGAATTGAATCCTCTGTTTATTCTGAATGTTTAAATTCAGTTGATTTGAACCCTGCCTGAGATCGGTCCATTCCCTGCCTTGTGTTGCCTCCCCACCCAAATATTGTGCCCAGCAGAGCCTTCCTTACCATCACAGCAGGGCGGGCCAGAGGATAGGGGGCTGGGCTTCCAATAGTCGTATCCATATAGTAACTCATCATCTTTGAGGCACCTGCAGAAATGGGAAAGGACCTGTTAAACGAATTCCCAAGAGATGGACATGATGCAGAAGGTGGATTCTCTTGTCTGTGTTGTCTTTAGACTGTAGCCAATGTTCTCTGTCTGCTGGTCCAAAGACCTTTATGTAGAGTGGGCGGTTGGGTTGTAATGTTGTCAACAGAGGAACTGAGCACAACAGTCTGTTGTGCAACAAAATTACCAGCAACCTGCTTATCCATTCTCTTGTGCAACAGCATCCCACTAGTGCAAAACCTTTCACCAGCAGAACAAGGATCCCGCTACATGACTTTAACTTAGCGCTAAATTAGAGACAACCCTCTGTTCATTGGACTCAGGCTTCTGAAAAGATGAGGTTGCTGGTACTATTATTATTGAATTGCTTTTTACAGACCGCCTCAAATCAACTTACAAAATATTCAAATGCATAGCAACTGAAGAATTTAAAATTCCTAACGTGGAGTAAAATATAAAAACAATAAAAGTATACATCAATGATATTAAAATGAATCTGATTCTATCAAGAGCTGAACTCCAAACCAGGCCATACTACATTATGATTAAATGGATATCCAGACACCTGAAGGTTTTGGCCTGGGAGATAATGTTGGCGATGTTGAGCCCAGGTAAGTTTCCCTGGAAAGAGTGTTCTGTAATTGGGGAGCTACCACTGAAAAGGCCCTTTCTTTCATCGCTCCCTAACCAGAGACACACAGACAATGGCTTCTGGTGACACATGTAGGGTTCAGGTAAGTTCGTAAGGAAAGAGGTTTGGGGGCGCCAAGCTGCAGAATCAAGATGGCGGACTGAACCTTAAAAAACTTCCCTGGTTTCTTAGAATACTAAATATGAGTATTCTAATGAGTGCAGTGTCAACTTGATATTTTGTGAACATACAAAACACGGTCATTTTTCATCATTTCAAAGCCGCATCCCCAGCAATATTTGAGACTCTTAGCTCTGAAGGAAACTGGTGAGTTCTTTAAAGCTCAAAGGGAAAACAGATTTCAATTTATTAGGATGATGGGGGCAGTTCAAAAAAACACACAAATCCTTATGGTTGATTGTGACATGAAACAGCTGGCAAGAAAGGCAGAAACTGGTAGTTTCATTTCTTTCTCTGAAGGGCTAGACATATCTCAATTTAAGCATCTTGGACTCCCCTCACTGATGGATGGATGGATATTCCTGAGATTATACAAGCAATAAAGAAAGCAGTGAGACATGTGATAGTATAGAACCAACGCAGAGCTCTGGCAAAATGTGCACCATCTACGTAAGTAACAAATATTTCAATTACGAAAGAAGAACACACAAACAAAATATCCCAGTGCTAAGCCCTGGTCATTGAAAGCCACTTTAACTAGTTCCTCGGTTACAGAGAAGACTGAAGTTGGCTGCTTGGAAGAACCAGCAGGAGGAAGATCCAGCGCTGAGGTCAATCCAACCACCAGGGAAGGTCTCTCTCTGGTCCTCGCTGTTCTTTGGTGGTTTGGGGTGAATTCCAGGCTATGATAGTCTGACAGGGAGAGTGGTGATGTGTCCGGACTACAACTCCCATGATCCCTGACCAGTGGCCGCATGGGCTAGGGCTGATGGGAGTTGAAGTCCAACAACATCTGGAAGGCTACATGTTCTCCATCCCGGATTTAACATCTTTGCCCTCCCCTGAAACACAGGAAACAGCTGAGTTCAATGAGACTGCAGCCCAGATAGGTTTTTGGATTTACATCCGAACCAACATGCCCAGGATTGTATTCAACTGACTTTTATTCAGGGTAGACCCACAGAAATTAATGGTCATGACTAACTTCAGTCTATTAATTTAAATAGGTCTACTCTGAATAAGTCTGTTGAGTACAATTCTTAATTACTTGGAGCTTTATAGAAAACATTTGGATGGTCTGAAGCTTTAATACTGAATCCTGTCTACCAGTAGAGCTCCCATATTTGCATGGTGGACTAAATGTGGGCAGCTCCACCAAGACCTTCTTGGTCTCTAAACATTTTGCTGACACTGACCATAACTAGTAGCCTTTCTACCATTCTATGATTCAAACTACTAGAACAGGCTTCCTCAACCTCGGCCCTCCAGATGTTTCTGGCCTACAACTCCAATGATCCCTAGCTAGCAGGACCAGTGGTCAGTGGGAATTGTAGTCTCAAAACATCTGGAGGGCCGAGGTTGAGGAAGCCTGTACTAGAACAACAAGCCAACTGCTTTAGCAAAGAATGAGGATTCCTCTGCAGCCGACCTTTGTCAAAACTCTTTGGCCTTTCGGTGTCTCGGTGCAAGTAAACAAATACACAGTTACAATTACAAACGGATAGCCGAGCTGGTGACTGCGCAAAAAGTGAAGTGGAGCATGTGAAGCGAAATCCTTATAAATGAGCTAACATGATCACCCACATCCCTGGGATTTAGACAAGCTAATCAGATATAGTGGTAGTGATAATCCTAATATAGTATAGAACAAAGTTGTACTCAAAACTAATGAACTTAAGTTAGTCAGATCCATTAACTTCAGTGGACCTTCTCTGAGCAGGACTAGCATTGGCTACAACCTGTTATTCTTACTATAGCAGCAGCAGCATTTCACGGTGTTCAAAGCACATTACCTTTTAAACCTCCAAGAAAGGTAGATTAATATTATTATCCCCACATATTATCTTTATGTTGCAGGTGGGAACATGGCTTGTCATGAGCTCATAGGGGTGGCCTTAAATGAGCCCGTAGAAGTGGCAAGATTTGAATCTGGGACTTCCCAATTATCACATTAGCCTCACAACCAGACAACATAGGCTCCTGCCCTTTGGAATACACAACCCCAAATTGGCATCATTCCATAAGCCCACAGTGGCCAGTTTTCACTCTGCATCTCCAACAAGCAAGCCATCTATCCTGGCCAGTGAATTTGGGGAGTTACTACAGGTACAGACTCCAGTCGAGCTATACACATGCTAACGAGTCCTGGCTTTCTTCAATTTGGTCCGGGCGGGGCGGGGGTGGTGGTGGCGACTTCTGCTTATAAAATCCCATATCCTGCCTTCCTCTGCTCATCATTAGCCTCTGAGAACATGAGAGGCAGGGGCTATGAAGGCGTAATTAGTTTTGGCGAACATCACAATCAACAGCAAGGAAGAGGCGGTTGGTAAAACTGACAAGGCAGGAGGTCAAGGCAAGGGCACTTGCGAGGAACCCAGCATTTTGCAGGTTGTGGGTGACCATTAAAGCCACAGAGGGCTGCTCCATTTTAGGTCTCAGTCCCAGAGCGCAGGAGCCGTTGATAATTAAAGGAAGATGTGGATGGCTGAAAAGGTGCAATGGATAGCAGGGCTCTCAAGCAATTAAACCTTCTTGGCTTCTTGTTCGTTAACGGCTTGCCATTTACCCAACTAATTAACTCAGCTTAAATGAATCACAGAATCATGGAGTTGGAAGGGACATCCAGGGTCATCTAGTCCAACCCCTTACAACGCAGGAATCGTGAATGCATATCACTCAAATAGGTGCCTTTTTAAAGGCACTTAACATATGGTCTAAAACAGGGGTCAGCAAACTTTTTCAGCAGGGGGCCGGTCCACTGTCCCTCAGACCTTGTGGGGGGCCAGACTATATTTTGAAAAGAAAAAAAAAGAACGAATTCCTATGCCCCACAAATAACCCAGAGATGCATTTTAAATAACAGCACACATTCTACTCATGTAAAAACACGCTGATTCCTAGATCGTCCGCGGGCCGGATTGAGAAGGCGATTGGGCCGGATCCGGCCCCTGGGCCTTAGTTTGCCTGTTGATTGTTGTTTAGTCGTTTAGTCGTGTCCGACTCTTCGTGACCCCATGGACCAGAGCACGCCAGGCACCTCTGTCCTCCACTACCTCCCGCAGTTTGGTCAAACTCATGCTGGTAACCTCGAAAACACTATCCAACCATCTCGTCCTCTGTCGCCCCCTTCTCCTTGTGCCCTCCATCTTTCCCAGCATCAGTGTCTTCTCCAGGGAGTCTTCTCTTCTCATGAGGTGGCCAAAGTACTGGAGCCTCAGCTTCACGATCTGTCCTTCCAGTGAGCACTCAGGGCTGATTTCCTTAAGAATGGATGCGTTTGATCTTCTTGCAGTCCATGGGACTCTCAAGAGTCTTCTCCAGCACCATAATTCAAAAGCATCAATTCTTCGGCGATAGGTAGTTTGCCTACCCATGGTCTAAAACCCCACCTCTCATCGTTAGACAAAGGAAGTCCAACTTTAAGATTCTATTTTCCACACCTTCTTACAGTAGCACACCAGAACCAAAGGCAGACTCATAGAATTAGACAAGTGCACATCTTGAACCCTCGGCAATTAATTGATTAAAGGTTTAGCTGGTGATTCTACCCATTAATTGGAGTGGGAAGGGGAAGACCTGTTAGGCTACAGGCTGAAATAAATGGGACGCCAAGGAAGGAGTGCCAGCTTCCAAAAGGGCAACCCCAGCTCAAGCTCTCCAGTTTGCCATGGAAGCACATCCCATGATGTCCTGATGCCCTTCCCTTCCCCAACTCCACACAGCTGGCTGCCGTGAGGAAGGAAACACCCCAGTGATTGCATCATTTACTATGCAGTTGTATAACATGACTGGGGAGAGAAAAGAGAAGAGCTTTTGTGGGGTGCTGCACTTGGTGTGCTGGACATAACTCAGATTCACATTGTTGCTCATGGGCTGACTTTCAGCCAGTCACCATCTTTCTGCCTAACCTACCTTGCAGGGTTGTTCTGAGGATAAATTGGAGAAGGCAGCAGCGGGGGGGGGGGGGAGGAGAAGATCCCTGCAGGAAAGGGAGCATTTTTTTAAAAAAGTGACTTGCTGTTTTCAATGACAGCCCCTGTGACCAGCATGGTATCTGCTTCCAGTCTTCGCCTTTGGCAAATTATATATATATAAATTTTAAACTTATTAAATTTTAGATTAAATTTTTCAAACGTTTTCACAATAACCATCCAATCT